TTTCTCTGTGGCTGCACCACAGAGATGGAGGGTGAGATGGGGCCTCCCTTAGGAGCATACCAACGCTTAATTCTGTCTTATTAACAAGCATTGCCGCTACACACCATTAACATCTGAGGATTTTTATAAAGCACTCAATCAGATGTCAAACAATAAAGCAACAGGACCTGATAGGTTTCCTGCTGAATTCTATACAAAATTCTGGGAAACAATTTGACTGTTGTTTGTCAGAATGAAATAAAAGAAAATAAATAAATTAAATTCAAAGATACCATCAGAAATTAATACAGCCATTATTACAGTACTCCTGAAACTTGATAAAGGCCCATCTCAACTTCCCAGTTATCGCCCCCTATTGCTTCATACGGATGTCAAGATTATCAGTAAAGCATTAGCCACCCGAATTGAAACAGTAACTCCTCTCCATCCAGACCAAACTGGGATTATTCAAACATATGCATAGACTACTTAATAAAATAAACATATCAAGAAACAGCAATATGAAAACAATTATTGCATCATTAGCTTCTGAAAAAGTAAATTGGAAATTCCTATTTACAATTTGGTTTTGGGGAATCATTTATTCACTGGATAAAGATAGTATACCACTCACCTATGGCCAAAGTTATCATTAATGGAATAACATCACAGAGTTCCATGCTACTCAGGGGAACTAGGCAAGGATGCCAACTTTCACCTTCTTTATTTGCCCTTTTCATTGAGCCTCTTGCTTCTGCAGTTATCATCAAGGGAATTCAAACCCTTAGCACACAGCACAAAATCAGCCTTAACGCAGATGATGTAGTTTTATATTTACAAGACCCATCAACCTCTCTACAGGAAGCCATCAATCTTATAAACACATTTTTTAAATAACTACTTTATAAACTGAAATAAATCCACATTTTACCACCATGTGGTGACAGCTGGAATGCTGCAGCTCAAAAACAATCTCTTCCTCTCTCTACAGGTAATATAAAATATTTAGGTATCATCATTTCCCCCAAACTGTTAGGGCTAAAAAGAATCCAAGATGGTCTAGACCAGTGGTTCTCAAACTGTGGTACGTGTACCTGCAGTGGTACGTGGCGTGCCGCCAGGTGGTACGCCAAATGACCCTGGAACTGTGTTGTGTGC